AATGAACTCCAGGAGGATTTGGACAAATTAATGTCTTGGTCTGAAAAATGGCAGATGAAGTTCAATGTGGATAAGTGTAAAGTACTATCCCTTGGTAATGAAAATAACCTTCGAAGGTATAATCTAGGTGAAGTAGAGCTTGATCATAGGCAACAGTTAGACAACTTTATTCCGAAACGTTTCGCATACACAGTAGGCTTCTTCAGTCGAATACAGAAAGTAGGCAGGAACATTAGAGATGTGAAGACGATGTAATCAGTCCATCACCCTTAAAGTCGTAATTTGAGGTTGTCAGTCCCTCAGCCTGGAGAAGTTCAGTTCCATAGTCAGGAACTATCTGAAGATCAAGCGACATAAGAACATAAGGAGGAACACTGCAGCAGACCTGTTGGCCCATACTAGGCAGGACCTAGTACCTGCGAGAAATGAGCTTCTACACAACAATATGACCAGCAAACAGAAGCTATACTCTGTACCCTTCATCTGAGATCATTTATTTCCATGATGACTCGCTCCTTGAACATGTTCGTACAACATAAGTCAGGTGACCAAAATAAAGTGCGTCAACCTAATGAAATTACTGACACACATACCGCTTCAAGTAAATCATCTTCCTCTTAAGAACATAAGAAAGGAGGATCACTGCAGCAGGCCTGTTGGCCCATACTAGGCAGGTCCTTTATAATCAATCCCACTAACAAAACATTTGCCCAACCTAATTTTCAATGCTACCCAAGAAATAAGCTCTGATAACTATCCACTCATTTGCAAGTCCAACTCAAATCCAACTCTCTCACTCATATTTATCCAAACTAAATTTGAAACTACCCAAAGTCCTAGCCTCAATAACCCAACTAGGTAGACTGTTCCACTTATCAACTACCCTATTTCCAAACCAATACTTACCTATGTCCTTTCTAAATCTAAACTTGTCTAATTTAGATCCATTACTGAGGGTTCTCTTCTGGAGAGATATCCTCAAGACCTTATTAATATCTCCTTTAATACCTATCTTCCACTTATACACTTCGATCAGGTCTCCCCTCATTCTTCGTCTAACAAGTGAATGTAATTTAAGAGTCTTCAATCTTTCTTCATAAGGAAGATTTTTAATGCTATGTTTTAATTTAGTCATTCTATGCTGAATGTTTTCTAACGAATTTATGTCCATTCTGTAATATGGAGACCAGAACAGAGCTGGGGTTATGGACACTCCCGAGATTCAGAACCTTGCATTTATCTACATTGAACTGCATCTACCAGTTTTTTGACCAAGAATAGAGATTGTCTAAATCCTCCTGAAGTTCCCTAATATCTACGTTTGAATCAATTATCCTACCTATCTTTGTGTCATCGGCGAATTTCCTCATATCACAAGTAATACCCTCATCAAGGTCATTGATATATATTACAAACAACAACGGGCCTAAAACTGATCCCCGTGGTACGCCACTTGTTACAGATCCCCACTCGGATTTAACCCCATTAATGGACACTCTGCTTCCTGTCTGTGAGCCATGATTCGATCCATGAGAGCACTTTTCCTTGAATGCCATGAGCTGCCACTTTCTTTAACAGTCTTTGATGTGGAACTCTATCAAAAGCCTTACTAAAATCTAAGTAAATAATATCAAATTCTTTGTCGAGATCAACAGCCTCGAAAGCTTTACTGAAGAAAGTTAATAAATTAGACAAGAACGGCCTCTCGTGAATCCATGCTGAGTATCATTAATCAGATTATGCTTATCCAGATGGCTTTTTATAATCTCGGCTATAATTGACTAGCAATTTGCCTACAATTGACGTCAGGCTTATTGGGCGGTAATTTGACGGTAATGACTTATCCCCTTATTTAAAAATAGGAATTACGTTAGCCATCTTCCACATATCAAACATTATACCTGTTTGAAGAGATAAATTAAAAATATTAGTTAATGGTTCACAGAGTTTCATTTTACATTCCTTAAGAACCCTTGAAAAAAGCTCATCAGGCCCCAGGGACTTATTTTGCTTCAGTCGGTCTATTTGTTCCATAACCATTTCACTAGTGACTGTGATGTTACGTAATTTATCTTCTTCAGGCCCACTATAAAAATTAATTACTGGAATATTGTTAGTGTCTTCCTGTGTAAAAACCGAGAGAAAATAATTATTTCATTCTCTTTGTCAGTAAGATGCCCAGAGTTATTTTTAAGGGGACCTATCGTATCTCTAACACATGGAAAAGACTTTTTGGATTAGTTTTCGAATCCCTGGCAACTTTAATTTCATAGTCCCGTTTAGCTTTTCTTATCCCCTTTTTAATATCCCTCTTAATGTCAATATACTGATTCATAAGATGACTCTCACCTCTTTTGATACGCCTATAAATTCCTTTATGCCCTAGTAGATATTTCAGCATATTATTCATACACTTTGGATCATTTTTGCTTGATCTAATTTCTTTATACGGGATAAATGTTCTTTGGGCAGCGTGTATAGTGTTCAGAAAACTGTAATATCGATAGCTCTCTTCATTACCCCAGTCAACAGATAAGTGTTCTCTAAGCCCATCGTAATCTGCTAAGCGAAAATCTGGATCTGTTACTGAGTTATCCCTCTCATACTTTCATTCAATGCTAAATGTAATTGATTTGTGGTCGCTAGCAACAAGTTCCTCTGAAATTCCTAAATTATTAACAAGGGATTCATTGTTTGCCAGAGCTAAGTCAAGCAGGTTATTTCCCCTTGTAGGCTCTGTCACAAACTGCTTCAAAAAACAATCTTGAACTACTTCTAAGAAGTCGTTTGATTCTAAATTCCCAGTCAAGAAATTCCAATCAATATGACTAAAGCTAGTGTCTCTTGGAATTACTACGTTACTGTGACTTGTGGCCTTAAAAATTTCCTCCCATAGTAATCTCCCTTGGTCCCTATCTACGTTTGGGGGACGGTATATTACACCTAAAATAATTTTTTCAAGTCCCTCTGAAAATTCTATCCAAACAGACTCAGTATGGGTTTCAGACTTTATACCTGCTTTAATGCAATAGTTCAAAGCGATCTCGGACATACAATGCGACCCCACCCCCCTTCCCGATACTTCTGTCTACTTGGAACAATTTAAAACCCTGTATATGACATTCATCAGGCATATACCGATTTTTCGTATTGAACCACGTCTCAGTCAAGGCAAATACATTAATGTTACCTGCACTAGCAACTAGTCTCAACTCATCCATCTTATTCCTAGCACTACGACTATTTGTGTAATATATATTTAAGGACCCTCCCTTCTCTTTTTTCTTCCTGCTGATTTCTGTTCCTCCACTATGCCTGTTACTCTCTTTATCACCTAATGCCATTGACTTAACTATGTTCATTAATAAAACTTCCTCATTCTGCCTATAACTGGTTTCCTTAAAACTCACACTATCGCTACACTCAGAATTCATTGATTTTCCACGAAAACCCATACCACTATCTATTTCTAGTTTAAAGACCTAACTGCTCCCTCAACTGCGTTGGCCAGTGCTCCCACCCCAAACCTAGATAAGTGAACCCCATCCCTGGCATACATGTCATTTCTGCCATAGAAGAGGTCCCAATTGTCAATGAATGTTACTGCATTTTTCTTACAGTATTTGTTCAGCCAGCAATTGACACCAACTGGCCTGGACTACCATTCATTTCCAACTCCTCTCCTTGGCAAAATCCCACCCTTCGTCCTAATTATTACTATTGCTGACCTATACCTGCTAACCAGGTCCTCACTCCTACGTCTGCCAACATCGTTGCCTCCAGCACTGAAACAGATAATAGGATTGCTCCCATTACTTCTCATGATGTCATCCAGACGGCTAACAATATCCTTCATTCCAGCCCCAGGAAAACACACACTGCCTCCTACTCCTATCCATCAAGCAGAATGCCCTATCCATGTACCTAATCTGGCTATCCCCAAAAACAACAATGTTTTTACCATCCTTGGCGTCGTCCGTCGTGATGTTCCCAGTAGTCGACTCACATTTATCAGGTAGCATTACACCTTCACTTGTGGAATTCGTCAAGACGTTCTCGATGGTTTTCGTTGGGGTTTCTATGGATGTCTCACTCACTTCAGCCAATGCTTCCTTGGTGTTCTTTGTGACATTCCCAGTAGAACACCCACATTCGTCAGGTAGCACCGAAAATGGGCTGGAAGTTTCCACAGTAGTCTTCTGGGTCCTCGTTGTTTCTGCCTCTCCAACAGTCTTCTTGATCCTCAGCTTGGTTCCATGTTGCCCGGCCACTGACTAACTTCCCCTCTTAATTAACCTGGGGACTCACAACAGGATTACTTCGAATCCTCTTGTTCTCCGATAATCGCCGTATATCTAGCTTAGCAACCCTAAGCTCTTCTTTCAGCTGCTGGTAAAGTTGCTCAAGAGAGGGCAGCCTGGTTCAGATTCACAGAGAACACACAAGCAGGTCTTCAGAGCTCTTTCGTATCTGTCATAGTGAAAATACTTTAAAATGAGCTGAAGTAGGTAACCGCTCTTAGATTGTAAATGAAGACAGGAAATCTTAACCTTTCATTGTAAAACTCTTGTGGAGAGAGAGAGAGAGAGAGAGAGAGAGAGAGAGAGAGAGAGAGAGGAGAGAGAGAGAGACAGACAGAGAGAGAGACAGAGAGAGAGACAGAGAGAGACAGAGAGAGACAGAGAGAGAGACAGAGAGAGACAGAGAGAGACAGAGAGAGAGATGGACATAGACGGAGAGAGACAGAGAGGGACAGAGACAGAGAGAGACAGAGAGAGAGACAGAGAGATGTAGGTAACAGCTCTTAGCTTGCCAATAAAGTTAGGAATCCTTAACCTGTAAATAGCTGTCAATAAAGCTAGGGATCCTTAACCTTGTCAAACCCTGTGTAAAAAAAAAAAAAAAAAAAAAAGAGAGAGACAGAGAGACAGAGACAGAGACAGAGAGAGACAGAGAGAGACAGAGTAGTCAACAGGTGACCCATTTTAAAAATATAAAACGCTTGACGGCTGATTCTCAACCATAGACTCACACTTGACGGAGAGCAGTATGGGCGAGGAGGTGTTGGCACCCTGGGTGTTTGTGGCAGCACATGTGTAGTTGCCTGCCTGCTTCCTGGAGACCTTCTGCAGCACCAGTGAACGACCCACCACCATCACCCCAGCACTCACGTTCTGATGCATTTCCACACCCTGCCACCCACCAGAAGGACTCTTAGTACTTTTATTTACATTATAAATTATGTAAATCAATGGAACTCTGTAACCTAATCATGATAAACTTTTTATAGAACCAAAATTAGTTGATTCTTCATGACGTTTCATCTCGGAGGTTGAGTTTTATACATGTGGTGATAAGATTTGTGAGATAAACCTCATCAGATAAGTAGTAATGACAAGGACAATGATTTAGTTACAGTAGAGATGATCCAACCACTCACATACATGCACACAATTATACATGAACAAACACGCACATGCACTTGATACCTGCAACCAGGTAATCAGGCTGAAGGAAGGAAGGAGGAGAGACAACAAGAAACAACCGAGATGTATGTGAGGAGCACAACATGAGATTAAACGAAGTATTCACAAAGGAGATAGAAGGGACTTCAGAAAGACGGAGAGGTGGGGTACACCAAGTGTTGTACACAATACATACAACCGAGGAGAAGGTACAGAGGCTGCTAAGCGAGCTAGATGCCTCTAAGGCGATGAAGCCGGATAACATCTCTCCATGGGTCCTAAGAGAGGGAGCAAAGGCTCTATGTGTACCCTTAACAACAATCTCCAACTCATCTTTCGAAATAGGGCGACTTCCTGCGGTATGGAAGATAAATGTAGTCCCAATTAAAAAAAAAAAAGGAGAGACAAAAGAAGCATTAAACTAGAGACCAGTTTCACTAACATGTAAAGTATGCAAAGTCATGGAGAAGATTGTCAGAAGAGTGGTGGAGCAACTACAAAGGAATGAGCTTATCAACGACATCCAGTACGGTTTCAAGGGCAGGAAAGCCTGTGTCACAAACCTACTTGAGTTCTATGACAGGGGTGACAATATTAAGACAAGATAAAGAGTAGGGTGGGGTAGACGGAATTTTCTTGAACTGTAAGAGGGTTTTTGACACAGTTCCACACAAGAAATTAGTGCAAAAGCTGGAGGATCCGGCAGGGATAACAGGGAAGGCACTGCAATGGATCATGCAATACCTGTTGGGAAGACATCAGGGAGTCATGGTACGTGACGATGTTTCAGAGTGGGCGACTGTGAAGAGTGGAGTTCCACAGGGGTCAGTCCTAGACCGGTGCTATTTTTGGTATATGTGAACGACATGATTGAATTAAAACTCAGAAGTGTCCTTGTTTGCAGATGATGTGAAGTTAATGCGAAGAATTCAGTCGGATGAGCACCAGGCAGAACTACAAAGGGATCTGCACCGGTTGCACAGCTGTTCCAGAAACTGGCTTTTGGAGTTCAATCCCACCAAGTGCAAAGTTATGAAGACTGGGAAAGGGCAAAGAGGACCGCAGACGGATTACACTCTATGGGGGCGAGAGACTACAAACCTTACTCAAGTAAAAGGGTCTTGTGGTGAGTATAACAATGGGCACATCTCCTGAGACGCACATCAACCAAATAACTACTGGAGCATATGGTGTACGAGGAGAGGTTCAAGGAAATCGACCTGACGACATTGGAGGACAGGAAAGATAGGGAGGATATGATAACGTCATAAAAAATACATATAGGAATCCACAAGGTGGACATAGACAGGATATTCCAGAGATGGGACACAGCAACAAGGGGTCACAGTTGGAAATTTTTGACTCAGATGAATCACAGAGATGTTAGGAAGTATTTCTTCACAGAGTTGTCAGGAAATAGAATAGTCTGGAAAGTGATGTAGTGGAGGCAGAATCCATACATGCTTCAATAAGAGGTATAATAAATGTCATGGAGCAGGGAGAGTGACCTAGTAGCGACCAGTAAAGACGCGGGGCCACAACTAGGTGAGTACACACACACTCACGGAAGCGTTGGTGCACCTGGAAAGAAGCGAGTTCATACTTGACAGCAAACATGGTTACAGGGATGAAAAATCTTTTGTCATAACCTACTGGAATTTTACGATAAGGTAAGAGAATTAAGGCAGAGAGAAAAATGGGCAGATCCTATTTTCTTGAACTGCAACAAAGTTTTTCACACAGTACCGCACAAGAAGCTAGTAAGAAAGCTAGAGAAGATGACAGGAATAATAGGAAAAGGGTTACAGTTGATCAAAGTATACCTGATAGTAAAGAAACAGCTAGTGATCTGTGAGGAAGCGTCGAATGGGTGCATGTAAAGAGTGAAGATCATCAAAGGGCACGTTTTTGTTTCTAGTACAAGTTCATGACATAAGTATAGAATCAGAGGTTTGGTTAGGTAAGGTTCGTCAGGAAACAGGACAAGTGCTTCCTGACGCGGGTCTTAGTCAGATGATGACCCGCCATTAGAGCTTGTGGTCATCTGACCAAGGCCTTCCGCTGGCTTACAGGTCCAGTAATAATCATTTTAAAGCTCATCACACAGAATCAGAAGCATTCATTTTCGCAAACGAATTAAAACTAATGAGAATCAGGAGAGGCTACAAAAGGATCTGGACAGCCTGGGCGTGACAAACAGCTCCAGTAGTTTATCTCCCCGAAGGGAAAAGTTCTGAAGCTTGAAGGAGGGCAAAGAAGACCACAAACGGAGTACAGGATCGAGGGGGCAAAGGCTGCAAACCTCACTCAAAAAGGGTCTTGGGGCAAGTATCATGCCGAACATATCCCGACTAAATAATTGCTGCAGCAATGCACGTGTAAAAATAGATTTTCAACACATAGGGAAGGAGTCATTCACGACACTGTACGTGTATGTCAGACATATAGTGTGTATATGATGATAAGGTACAAAATGCTGAGAGGAATTATAAAGAATAAATAGGGACAAAATGATTCAGAGATGGAAAAAAACGAATATAAGGGCACAGCTAGAAGTTTAAAAATCAGATATGTCACAGATATGTTACGAAGTATTTTTTCAGCCTTAGAGTTATCAGGAAGTGGAACAAAATGAAAAGTTAAGTGGTAGAGGTGGGATACATACATACCTTAAAGAGTAGATACGATAAGGCTTTTGAAGCCAGGAAAGAGTGAACCTAGTAGCAACCAGCAAAGAGGCGAGGCCAGGAGCTGTTAGTCGACCACTGCAACCACACATATGAGGACATATAGGTGGGTATAAAACACACACACACACACACACACACACACACACACACACACACACACACACACAGCGTCACAAACCTTCTGGAGTTCTGTGACAAGGTATCAGAATTATGACAAGAAGAGGAGCAGTGGGTAGACTGCATCTTCTTGGACTGTAAGAAGGCTTTCGAGAAATTACCACACAAGAAACTGGTAGAAAAGCTAGAGTAGCAGGCAGAAATGGCAGTGAAATCACTCCAATATATCAGGAGATACCTGTCAGGATGGAAACAACGTGTGTTGGTACGTGACGAGGTATCAGAGTTGGGTCATGTGTTAAGTGGGGCTCCAGAAGGATCGGTCAGTCCTAGGCCCGGTGCTGTTCATGTGAATGTGAATGACATGATGGAAGGGATAGATTCATAGCGTCTCTGCTCGCAGACAATGTGAAAATAATGAGGAGAATACAAGCGAACAAGGATCAGGTAAGATTTCAATCGGATCTGGACAGGCTGGAAACCTGGTCCGACATAGGGCTCCTGGAGTTTAACCCCAACAAGTGTAACGTCATGAAGGATGTTGAAGGACAAAGAAGACCCCTAACGGAGTACAGCCTAGGGATGGGAGGGATCAAAACTGCCAAACTCACAAGGATCTTGTGGTTAGCATGAAACCGAGCACATCTAAGGAGCATATCAGCCAAATAACAGCAGCATCATATGGGCTCCTGGTAAACCTAAGAATAGCGCTTCGGCATCTAAGGAGTCAATCACAACATTTGAGTATGCAGTAACAGCAGTGAACCCACACTCGGTCCAGTAACATGAAATTGGAGAAAGTACAACAGTCTGCAACAAGACTAGTCCCGGAGTTAACATGTATACCCATCGAGGAGAGTTTAAGTGAACTCAATTTGTCCACACTGGAGGACATGAGGGACAAAGACGACATCATGATAACGCATAAAATACCGAGAAGAATTGGCAAGGTGGACATTGCCAGAATGTTTCAGAGATTAGACATTAAAAAAAGGACACAACTGAAAGTTAACAACTGAGATGAGATACAGGGATGTTAGGAAGTATTTCTTCAACCTTAGACTTGTCAGGAAGGGAAACAATCTGAAGAGTGAAGAAGTGGATGCAGGACCCATGCATAGCAGAAAGGGAAGGCCAGGAGCCATGATTCGATACCTGCAACCATAAATAGATGAGAACAAATAGGCGAGCGAGCGGCGCGCGCACACACACACACACACACACACACACACACACACACACACACACACACACACACACACACACACACACACACGCACACACGAGAGTAACAGTAACAGCAGTGCTCCTTGAATTTAATGTTCTTGTTTCTACCCAAGGATCTAGCAGAGGTCATTGAAAGTGACTGTGTCAGTGAACCACAAAATGATAAAGTCAGAAAAGGAAATCGAACACTGCAATTTCGTAAGACAATTGGCAGAAGCGGAGGGAAGTAGCAGGTCCATGTCTAGTATCAGGCACTAATAATTAAAAAAATATCAAGAGAACAAGGTGTGACCAAAAGACAGGGAGATAAGTAAAAAAATCGGTTAGATTAATAACTGAGCAGGAAGAGAAAACACCCTGTGAGTGAGAAAGAAAAAAAAAACTAGGAAGAGCTAACAGCTAAAAGACATCATTCAGTGCCATTTTTACGTGTTGCCTGTAGGAAGGTCTCAATACAATAAGGAAAGAAATGCGAGTATCTGGACAGAAATGTGCTGATCTTTGTAGTGTTGGCAGGAGAGTAAGTCAGTGAGTAGACATGCTTCAGCAGACAGGCGTTAGACAGGAGATAACAGGTGACAAAAGGTGTTAGTAGATAGGTGTTAGACAGGTGATATTTGACAGGCATTAATAGACAGATGTTATTTGACAGGCATTAGTAGAGAGGTGTTAGTAGATAGGTATTCACCTATTGTGGTTGCAGGGGTCGAATAACATCTCGACCCCTGTGTGAAGAACTCAAGTTATTATTCTCACATTTAAACAGTAACATTCACATTCTCTGCTAAATTCATAAAGATATGGGAAAGAAAACATTCACGGCATCTCTTATATGCACTGAAGGAAACGCAGTTTTATTTACATAAAACACTACATTCGTGAAAAAAGTATCCTACATTACTAACGTTGAAACTCCAGCTGATTTTAAGTGCATCAGGCCTGGCCTTGATGTGGCAGTCGAAGTAGACATCATCACCTTCCTTGATGTTGTTTAGGTCGAGGGAAGATCCTGCCGCTACCTGAACCTCAGGGGAGTCTGTAAGAAATTTTATATATATATATATATATATATATATATATATATAATATATATATATATATATATATATATATATATATATATATATATATATATATATGTTGTGCCGAGTAGGTAAACTTTGTCAATTAGCAATAACTCATTTAAAATCGAGTCCCTTCAAAAATTGTATCTTGTACGTTTAAAGATATACAATACAAACACAATGAAATTTATATTTTTTCGTTAGGTTCAGAATGGTTTTTGAAAATTACTACATACATAAATTTTCCTTGCGTTTTCGGCAAGAAGAGCGTTGCTATATAAGCCAGAATCGCAAGGTTTACCTATTTGGCACGACATTATATATATATATATATATATATATATATATATATATATATATATATATATAATATATATAATATATATATATGCAATAAGATCACAGTAAACAGGTGATTTCAGAATATGCAAAACAACCACTCTGAAAGAATAGAGAAATTCCAAGCACTTTCGTAACTACTCACATTATCAAGGAACTATGAAAGTAAAGCATCCAAGGAAGCTATATAAGGGGTCTGGCCAGCACCTCACTATCAGATCCACAACGGTTAAACACCTGACGCGCGCCGACCCAACTTGGATAGGTCCTATGCACAACTCACCCACAAACTATTCTACCCCAGAAAATTTAAAAATTATTATTTGTCCAGTGTATTATTAAATTCTTCCCAAATTCTATTAATTATAAATGGATCTAATTTATATAAACCAAAGGAAATATTCATATTATTGTCAAAACTGCTTTTTATGAAACAAGATTCAATTATATTCCTGTCGACCATGGACTTGCTTGATACTACTTTCTCAACTTTTTGAAAATCAATTGGATGGTTAAAATCTCTTACATGAATAAATATAGCATTGGAATCTTGTCCAGTTCTAATGCTAATTTATGTTGTTTTAATCTTAGTTCGAGATTTTTTCCAGTTTGACCGTAATAAACTTTATCGCAAATTTTACAAGGAATCTTATAGACACATCCATCAGCATTTTGGGGGAAATTCTTTATCAAAAGTTTTTTTACTGTATCAAGATTTTTGAATACAACTTTAATATTAAAAGTCTTAAGAAGAGAAGGCATATCATCCAAGTTTTCATGGTAAGGGAGAACCAACATATTTTTAGTTGAATAAGGCTGGTTGTCCCTTTTTGGATTGTAAAATGTATTTCTAGCAACTTTAAAAGATTTATCAATTACATTTCTTGGGTATTTTAAATCATTACCTATTTCATAAATTTTGGATATTTCCTCATCTATGAACTCAGGACTACAAATTCGTAAAGCTCTCAAAAACATTGATGAGAAAACAGACAGTTTGACTATCTTGATGCGAGGAATAATAGTGGACATAGGAACAGTTATTTGTAGGTTTTCTGTAAATTTTAAATTTGAATTCATTATTACCCTTAATAATTAAAACATCTAGAAAAGGCAATGAGTTATTTTCTTCAAACTCAACAGTAAAGTTTATAGAATGGGCTAAGCTATTTAATTTTCCAAGGAAATGGTGTATATCTACATTTTTGGGCATAAGACACAAAATATCATCAACATATCTGAACCATTTAGCTCTATTAGGGAGGATTGTGTTAAGCAACCTTGTTTCAAAAAATTCCATGTATAGGTTACTAAGAACAGGTGAAAGAGGATTCCCCATTGCCATACCAAACTTCTGAGTGTAAAACCTATCATTAAATACAAATTTTGCTTCAACAATGCAAAGTTTAATAAGTTTAATGATAGTAGGAACTGGCAATGGTAAATCATAGTTAACGAGTTCTTCAGATAAGAAACTTAATAAATCATCAACAGGAACTTTCGTAAACAAGGAAGTAACATCAAAACTAACCATGTTAAAATCATTTAAGTCAGTCAAGGAGCTTAATTTATCAACCAAGTCTATGTTGTTTTTAACATTAAAGTTAGAAATTTTGCCAACAATAGGGCTCAAAATATGAACAAGCCATTTGGATAATTTATATGAAACTGACCCTATGGAGCTAATAATTGGTCTGACTGGATTCCCTGGTTTGTGTGTTTTTATTAGTCCATACATGTAAGGTAAAGATGGATTAGTGGAAGTAAATTGTTTGACTAATTCATCTTTGCCTTTCAGTAGAAGTTTTGTTTTATTGAAATTGCTGTTAACGGTTTCTAGGGGATTTTTCCTAAGTTTAGAATAGGTTTCAGTATCATCTAAGAGATTATTAATTTTTTCTTGGTAATCATTTTCTTTCATAATTACTATTGCATTTATTTTGTCTGCTTTAGTAAGGCGGAAATTTTTATTGTTATTAAGTGTATCATAAGACTTAAAGAATCTTTGAGGGCAATTGGGAATGTTTGGTTTTAACATAGAGCTATATACCATTCCTTTACTAATATTAATTTCATCAGAGGATAAATCAGAAAATTTTTCAAAGTTACAAAAGGCTTTTGCAATTTCAACATTATTAAGTTTTTTTTGAAGTTGCAAAACTTAGGCCAAAACCTATAGCAGCAGTTGTATGTTTGTCTAAAATTTCATCTGATAAGTTAATTACAAAATTGCTATTAGCATGCTTTGTCCAATCACTATTTTCAATTAAAATGTCTAATTTTCTTTGTAGTTTGCTCTTGAGTTTATTACAAATTCTTCTGAGTTTATTATAGCAATGCTCCAACATACTGTGTTTCCATTCTGATGGAATGGCCTGATTAAAAGAGTATTTTTTGTTTCTCAATATTTTGAATGCTTCCTTCTCCTGTATTTTAGTTATTTCAATATGTTTCTGAAGAATAATTCTCATAAAATCATCAAAAGGACGATCTCTCATGTCAAGGAGTCTATTGGGTAAAAGAGACTTGGGCAGAACTTGTTCATTTAAACATTTTTTTAAAAAATTAAGTCGAATTTTTAACTTGTGGGACTTGATCAGTGCAGAAGAAAACTGTGAAACAAAAGATATATGATTAGGAAAGCTTATCGAGAACATTCTGAAGAGTCGTGTGGTATCCATTAATGCAATAAGATCACAGTAAACAGGTGATTTCAGAATATGCATTAATGGATACCACACGACTCTTCAGAATGTTCTCGATAAGCTTTCCTAATCATATATCTTTTGTTTCACAGTTTTCTTCTGCACTGATCAAGTCCCACAAGTTAAAAATTCGACTTAATTTTTTAAAAAATTGTTTAAATGAACAAGTTCTGCCCAAGTCTCTTTTACCCAATAGACTCCTTGACATGAGAGATCGTCCTTTTGATGATTTTATGAGAATTATTCTTCAGAAACATATTGAAATAACTAAAATACAGGAGAAGGAAGCATTCAAAATATTGATTTTCAAAAAGTTGAGAAAGTAGTATCAAGCAAGTCCATGGTCGACAGGAATATAATTGAATCTTGTTTCATAAAAAGCAGTTTTGACAATAATATGAATATTTCCTTTGGTTTATATAAATTAGATCCATTTATAATTAATAGAATTTGGGAAGAATTTAATAATACACTGGACAAATAATAATTTTTTAATTTTCTTGGGTAGAATAGTTTGTGGGTGAGTTGTGCAAAGGACCTATCCAAGTTGGGTCGGCGCGCGTCAGACGTTCTAACCGTTGTGGGATCTGATAGTGAGGTGCTGGCCAGACCCCTTATATAGCTTCCTTGGATGCTTTACTTTCATAGTTCCTTGATAATGTGAGTAATCACGAAAGCACTTGGAATTTCTCTATTCTTTCAGAGTGGTTGTTTTGCATATATATTATATATATATATTATATATAAATATATATATTATATATATATATATATATATATATATTATATATATATATATATTATGTCGTGGCGAATATGTAAAACTGGTCAATTAGCAAGAACTCATTTAAAATTAAGTCCTTTCTAAATTTTCTCTTATACGTTTAAAGATATATTTTTTTTTCATTAACTTTAATGTAATTTTTTTTAATTTTGCACCAAAAGAATCTTAGAAAACTTACCTAACCTTATTATAACAAGAGCAATTTATTTTAGCCTAACCCAACTATATTTTAGATTTGTTTACAATAATTTAACACTAAACAAATGCAGTGAAATATATTTTTTTCGTTAGGTTCAGAATGATTTTGGCGAAATTATTGCATACACAAATTTTCACTTGTCCTATATGGCAAGATGAGCGTTGCTGTTTAAGCCAAGATCGCAAGTTCTGCCTATTCGGCACGACATATATATATATATATATATATATATATATATATATAGATATATATATATATATATATATATATATATATATTTAAATATATATATATATATATATATATATATATATATATATATATATATATATATATATATATATATATATATATATATATATATATAAATATATTATAAATATATATAAATCATCATCATCTTTCAACGTACCAGCCGTATCCCACCGAGGCGGGGTGGCCCAAAAGGAAAAGCGAAAGTTTCTCCTTTCAAATTTAGTAATATATACAGGAGAAGGGGTTACCAGCCCCTTGCTCCTGGCATTTTAGTCGCCTCTTATGACACGCATGGCTTACGGAGGAAGAATTCTGTTCCACTTCCCCATGGAGACAAGGGAAAATAAACAAGAACAAGAACTAGAAAGAAAATAGAAGAAAACCCATAGGGGTGTGTATATATATGCTTGTACATGTATGTGTAGTGTTGCCTAAGTGTAAGTAGAAGTAGCAAGACGTACCTGAAATCTTGCATGTTTATGAGACAGAAAAAAGACACCAGCAATCCTACCATCATGTAAAACAATTACAGGCTTCCGTTTTACACTCACATGGCAGGACGGTAGTACCTCCCTGGGCGGTTTCTGTCTACCAACCTACTACCTAGATATATATATATAAATATATAAATATATATATATATATATAAATTATATAAAGGTGGTACCTCCATATATATATAATATATAT